AGGGGGAGTGAGAGGAAAAAGGGGGGGTGAGAAAGAGGAAAAAGGGGGGGTGAGAGAGGAGAAATGAGGGGGGGTGAAAGAAATGAGGGGGGGTGAGAAAGAGGGTGAGAGAGAAAGGAGGCGGGGGTGAGAGAGAAATTAGGAGGGGGAAGAGAAACTAGGAGGGGGGGAGAGAAATTAGGAGGGGGGTGAGAAAGAGAAATTAGGAGGGGGGAGAGAAATTGAAATTAGGAGGGGGGGAGAGAAATTGAAATTAGGAGGGGGGGAAGAGATATTAGGAGGGGGAAAGAGAAATTAGGGGGGGAGAGAAATTAGGAGGGGGGTGAGAAAGAGAGAAATTAGGAGGGGGGAGAGAAATTGAGGGGGAGAGAAATTAGGAGGGGGGGTGAGAAAGAGAAATTGGGAGGAGGAGAAGGAAATTGGAGCGGGAGGAGAGATTGACATTCATCACATACACACAATGCACCCCTTGCACACAGAAAAACACACAATGCATTACACACACAGACACACATACACAAGCAATGCAACCGTTACACACAATGCATCCCTTACACACACAGAAACACACAATGCATTCATTACACACACTCAATGCACCCCTTACACACATTCAATGCATCCCATACATACACAGAAACACACCTTGCAGCCCTTACACATACAAACACAATTTCACACAATGCATTCCTTACACACATATCAGGACATCCCCTACACACTCCACCCCCTGTGAACAAACTCATTGGTGGAACATGAAGGTGGACCCTGGGACCCAGACCTTGAGCTGTGTAAAGGACCCCCAAAAAATGGAGCTGCTTCCCGTTCTCCCAGAACATTGATTTTTGTGACCACAGTTACAAACCGCCTCCAGAGAGCCTGTTCTGCACCAGACCAGTGGAGCCAGACTGCAGCTAGAGCCCATCATCATCCTCATCTGGTTGTAAGTAGGCAATCTAGTATATTATTCGTGGCACTAAGCTCTAATTTACCTCACATTAAAGAAACACTATAGTCCCCAGAACCACTTCAGCTTAATGTAGTGGTTCTAGTGTCTATAGCCTGTCCCTGCAGGCCTTTTAATGTAAACACGGCGGCACTGCAGCACTGGCGTTAGTTAACATGGCAAATCATATGGGTGGGGCATTGTGATGTCACAAATCCTTGCACCGGCCCTGGCTGGAGGGGGCTGATAAACTGGCCGCAAACAGCTGATAAACTGGCCGCACAGAGGAAATGTGTATGTGTGACTGTCTGCCTGTGACTGTGTGTGACTGTCTGCCAGTAACAGTGTGTGACTGTCTGTAACTGAGTGTGTGACTGTCTGCCTGTAAATGTGTGTGTGGGGTTGCAGGGATTTTGTAGAAGGGGGCGGGGGTTTTGTATTGGGACAGGAGTCTTTATAAGGGGGGATAAGCAGGGGATTTGTGGAAGGGGGTTTTGTAGACAGGGGCAGTACAGGATTTGTAGAAGGGGCAGGACAGAGGTTTTGTAGGAGGGGCGGGGCAGGACAAGGGTTTTGTAGGAGGGGCTGACAGCGGTTTTGCAAAGTTTACAAATTGTAAAAAAAAAAGAAAGAAAACCTTTAACATTTTTTACAGGTTTTTTTTTTTTGGGTGGGGGAGGGGTGCCAAGCATAGGATCCGCCCCGGGTGCCAAATGCTCTAGGTACGCCCCTGCATACAAGGCATACACCTAGGCGATAAGGAATACTTAACTTGTTCGCGGATGATATTCTAGTAACGCCAACACACGAAATAATGTCTCTACAAAGCTGATGGCACGAATCCATGAGTACAGAGCAGTGTCCTATTACAAACTAAACGTCATGAAAACCCAAGCTCTGGGAATAAAATTGGGTGAGAATCTAGCAAACAGACTGGAGAGGGCATTCCCCCTAGACTGGAGACACGACTACCTGACATTCCTGGGCATCAAACTACCCAAAAACCCAGCCCACCTGTTAGACACAATTATGCCTGAATGCTAAAAGAATTCTTGGACACTCTGCAAACTTGGAGGGGAAGGTACCTATCGTGGCTGGGCAGAATTGCAGCAGTTAAAATGTCGCTCATACCTAAGATACAATATCTTTTCCGTATGCTACAAATACCCATATCAAAACAATTCTTGAAAAACATGCAACATACTATCAACTCCTTCATATGGGAGTGGAAAAAGGTGAGAGTAGCAGCAGGGACGATACAACAGTCAGTAAAAAATGGGGGGTTGGGCCTACCCAACCTAACAGCATACTACAGAGCTGCCTACTT